ATAGCTGAAAAGCAGTTTTCGTTTCCACTTGACTGCCAAGTGACCTGACTCGGGATTTTATGGCTTTCCCAGGAACAAGCTGATGATATCAGTAACATCCAAAACTTAGCAGCGAAATTGCATTGTCATGAGCAAAAGTGAGAAGTAGACAGAACTTCTGATTTAAGTGATGTTTTCCTAATATTTAGCTATATTAAAATGGAATATAAATCTGTTTTCTGTTCAGCACATTAGATAAATTTACCTTTACACAGAAGACCTGAATAAAGCTGACAGCCCACTCAGCTAATTAGGCTGAGGCTTTCTTGTCCAATTTTGTGTTTCAGACTTATTTTTAATGTTAGATGATTTTCCAATGCAAATAATACCTTAAATATTAACAATTTAAGACCTATAGTTTTTAAAAAATAATAATCATTGTTATTTGAATAATGTAAAAAAAAAAGGAATTTACTTAAATTTAGCCCCAAATTATGTTTTGTTTAAAGTACCAGTTAAATGCTTCACCCTAATGAAAATACTATTTCTTCTAATTCCAAATGAAACAGATGGCTTGATAGAGTTACTTATTCAACATATGGAAATCAATTACTGAGCTCTGAAGAATCAACAGCAAACTCTCAGTCATTTTTAATTCAATTTGACTAGTAAGAAAAAAATACAAGAATACAACATAGAAATGAAAGAATCCAGCTTCTAATATGACTGCTTTAGTTTGAACTGTAATGGAACAAGGAGGGTTTCAAAAATATCTGAGCTATGATATTAGATATTGTTTGTAGCACTGTTTTTTTGTTTATGAACAATTTTTACAGAAAATAACAATTCGGAATGCATGTGCAATTTTACATCCATCTACCACTTTAAACCCCCCAAAATTAGAAGTTCCTCCGTAAACAGTTCTCTCATCATAAACATGCATACAGATGCTCCTGAAGCTTCTTCTGAAACAATGCTGCTCTCAAAGCAAGACACAAAAACCATCCACAAATGGATCAACTGACAGAAGATTTTCTCAGAGACAGCAAACGAATATACTGTGAAGGTAGCAAGGAAGGTGTGAGAGCGCTGCACTGCTCATTCCTGGGACTGGCCAACATAGCAGGACTTGCTTTTCTAGTCGGGCAAAGCAAATGAAAATTGTTATTAAACTGCAAGGAACAATCAACGCACCGGTTTTACTACTACTGCGAAAAGCATCATCTCTAATAACGTAACTGTAGCTGATGCTTTGGAAAAGTAGTAAGAGCAAATGATTCTTACCCTGGTCTTATCATTGCCATTTTCTTTAGTCAAGGATGTAGAGGTTTGCCAGCTAGGTCTGTGGCAGTTTATCATTGCCTTAAATACAATCAGTAGCTAAAGTGAATTCAACTACTTTATTTTCTATCCCAAGCAAACTGCAACTTTCTAAAGCTCTAGCAAAAGTTTGCCATTTTTGCTTAATTTCTTCCTATAAGCTTATATAACAATATATTTTAAAGGTGCCCCTGCATTATCCTCAGCTGGTGGGCAGAACTGTACTTCAGAATATTTTTCAGAACTCCATTTGTTAAAAGGAAAAAAGGCTGCTTAGGCGGTTAATGTTTTCTGTGCAGAACAGTCACTATGTGGGAGTGCCTCATTTGCATAGTGGTGTGTGGGTAGGAGTTGGACAAGCACACTGAAGGGTATGACGATCAAAACCAGATATGTGGGAAATTCTTTTAAATGTGAAGAGACTTCACCCAGGTTTTACTCACTTAGGTAAACATTATTTCTAAGGGAGAAATAAATTTCTGCAAAGGAGCAAGAAATAAACTACACATGAGGTAAAAATTGGCTCCAAGCACTGCAATTTCTATGGTGTACCAACCTACACCCAAGAACAATTTCTTATTCTGTCCTAGGTCTAGCAGAGCAAAAATCAATGAGAAATGGAATTTTGATCAATGTTAAAGATTTGCATGTGATTTTACCAGTAAATGACTTGCAGAACAAGTTATAGCTGATTTCTGCCACTGTCATTCTGTCAATTTAATAATAGATCCCTCTTTTGATGTAATGACTGCCATTAGCATTCCAAATATAGTGAACCATTTTGTTAATCTCTCTACAGAGGAGAAAACTTAAGTAAAAACGTAAAACAGAAGGCAACCTGGGCCAGTTTCTTGTGCACAGTACTTGTCTTTAATCCACTGCTCACTGGAAATGTAAATCCAGTTCCTTACCAAACTGGGAGAGAATAAAATCCTGGTTTAAACCGATTTGACACTACTGGCCAGCAAAAAATTACTCTGCAAAAGCCAAAACGAAAGCTTGATTTTTCAAGCAACAGAGATTTTTAAGCACTCCATGCAACTGCCTTCTCCTTTCTAAATTCAGCTGACCAAAGTGACTCATGCACTTGGCAAGAAAATTAGACATTGGTACAAATTTTGAAAGTTGGTTCTGGGGCCTGTCTGCACATGATGTAACCATCCACCAACTACACTGATTCTAGGGAGACTCTTCAAGTTTTCGTAAGCTCACAATGTGGTCCAACCTACTTTCATGTATTTTACGAGCAACTGCTTTCTTCTGCTGGATAGCAACACAGACCTGTGGGACACTCAGCCTACATCAAGAGCCCATTCGTTAAGCACTTCCCCCTGCCCTTGGGAGTGGTACCCACAAAGCAGTGATAGATCTTGTCTGGACACTGTTGCCCCACATCACCTATATAATCTGTTAGAGGTTAGGACAGTGTCTACAAACAACTTGGGCTTAGCCTTCTTTAGGAAGCAAATACTCTGAAGATTCCCTGATCAGTATCCTCAGGTCTTTCCAGCCTAAATTTAGCAAGTCATACCACACAACCTAAATAAGCTACTACCATTTACTCCCTATCAGTTTTTAAAATATACAATAGGGGTTGGTGTACTTCTTGCATTTCCTCTGCATTACCATAATTCAGACAATATAGATTTACACAGATATAAAAGGAGAGCATGAATAAGGAGATTTATTTCTCTCTCTTTTCTTTTACATGTGAAACAGATACATGAATTTCTCCCGGAAAAGGACTAATTCTACTTGGACAACTCCTGTGTTGACCACTCCTTGAAGACAGTGTAAGCTCCAACAGTGACCCTTCAAGAATCCCAGCTTATGGCTGTTTAAAAGAAGCACTGTGTTAGTATAACAGAAGAATCTCACCTCATATATAAGAGACTCTCCACAGTAAGGGTGCCTTCCATATAGGAAGGAGCACATCCTAAGCAATCCTCCTCACCCAACCTGCATTCATGTGGGAGCAAACACTGAGCTGTTTTCTATGTCACTAACCAGTTCCTTACAATCTCGTAAATTTCACATGTATTTTATTACATATGACATTACATATGACCACTTCAATTTAATTTCAAATAAATGGATGTAAACTGCTATTTAAAGTTACCATGTTCTAAAAACAATGCATAATGGAAAAAGCAGGGCAATTAAATATGTCAATCTTACAACCTGCTGTGGCAAATAGTCATCTCCACTATATGTGTGTTGCACAGTTCTCTTGGGAATCTTCAAGTTCTCTGGATGGACCTATTCAATTTCTTATTATTACCTCAGGTAATAAAATAATAAAAATAAATAAAATAAATTTACCAGCCAGGTAAAATAAATAAATAAAAACAAAACCCAACAAAATCATCCACAAACCCAAACACCTTTCTAACAAGAAAAAAAACCCAACCCTTAAAGGTTTTCCAGAATAACCTGGAAGTGGTGAAGGCCTTTTTAGGCCCTTTTTGCTCTCTAGTGAACAATGCTAATGCCTGTTCAAGACCAGTATAACCATGCTACCCTTTCAAGTGCCAGAACACTCCCTCATAAGCTTCTGTGAGAAAAGCTCAAGATTACTTCAAGCTTTTTGCTCAGCAACTTGAAACTACAACTTTTCCTTCATGCGAAGAACACTCACACCTTGCAAGCTGCCAGCTCTGCTGTAAATACAGACTGCTGCACTTGAGCCAGTCTAGATGTTTACAGGGTTAGCTTGAGCTCCCAGTCCTGATCATTTTGTTTTATTCCATTCCATGGTCATTAACATCCAGGTTTAGTGGAGAAGCCATTTAATTGTTCAGTCAAAGAGTGGATTTCAATTTGCTGTTAAGTTATGGCATTAAGAAATACTACTGCCTAGTCCGTACTGCAGAACATTAAAAAGATGCTCACTTCACAAATGCAAGAAATGTATAAATGCAGCATCAAGTGATTCATCTGAAAAACATTAATGACACACAAAAGACATGTGAAAACAAAACCAAAAGGTACTTCTATGGCTTTTAATTCTAAAACAGTTTTGGGTAAAATAAAACCTGAGTCTGTAAGAGGCACTGCATTTATCTGCTACAATTGCTCTAAAAGGCAGATATCTGTGAATTTGGTAACAGATGTAACAACATGACTACAGTGTATTGTTAAAAATCAAACCTACCTCACTTTTTATGCAGATGCAACATTAAAGGCTCCTTCCTCAAAGATACCCCCTATACACTAATATACCCTGTATCTGGTGCTTTAGCTAGGCTGTAAAACTTCCTTCATGTAATACAGAAAGTAGGAAAGAAGTATGTCATAAAAGAGATACTTGCACTAGGTCTATGAAGTTTAACCTATTTGCTTATTATAAATCCTTGAGTGGGAATTCGGCTTCTTTTTATTCAGAGACTTTAAATTTTGCCTTTAAAAAATCTGCTGTAAGAGCGTCCACCATAGTAATGACCAAGTTGGCATTTCTTATTGATGTGCTCACAAGGCCCAAGCATACATTGTGAGAAACACAATAATAGCGTCGTCCCATTGTTTCCAGCTTAGTACTATTGGGCTTACTGTTAATTTTCAGCACAGGCCTATATTACAAAATACAGCCAATTAAGATAAAAAACATTACAAATGACATTTAGGAAGACACAGATGATTCCCAAGAACTAAACAAGCAGCATATCGAGAGAAAAATCAGTTTTCGCAAATTGATCCACAGTTTTAGATAACATACAAAGTGATTAATAAAAAATGATGCTGAACAGGGGTTTCTCAAAAGCTTCTCTTTCCAGAAAGGTAAGACTGTAGCACTAGTTAAATGTTCCCATACAAGATCCTCATTTCTGCTAGGAAAAGTATGCAAGTGTAAGAAACAGCTATCGACACATAACCAGAAAATACTGCTGCTTGATTACCGTCTATAGAATCTGAACTCCAAATCTACATGCAGTATCTGGTGAAAAAAAAAAAGGGGGGGGGGGGGAATAAAATCACTGCTTCTCAAAGAAAGGACAAAAGCAATAGGGAGAGATTATGAGACTTTTAATTTAAATATGAAGTTTAACTCACAGACGTTTTTCAGGTTGGTTTGTTTTTTAAGATTTGAATGTATCACACCAGATCTTCACCTTCTACTTCTGGACTATGAAAAGCAGACAGGGAAGATATAACAAAGCAAATTTAGACAGGTTGTTAATTCTTGATCTCTCTTAAAAGTATGTATGTGATGCTGATAAGCAATGTCAGGCAGGAACAGAGGTAGCCATGGAAATCTGTACTACCAGTTCTATTTTCTTAGAAAAATCTATTTCTACAAACAATCCCAATACAGCAAAATTAATTCAATCTTATATCTTAATACATTTTTTCATTGTCTTTATTTTACAGAACAAGCACTAACCACTTTCAAATATTTTGTGTACTTTTCTGAATTCTTTTTGCTAATGTTGTCATTTTAAGGATGATCTGTTTAAACCTACCAAAATGAATTACTTCAATCTTGTGAAAAATCAGAATGGATTTTTAAAAATCTTATAATGACATTATTTTGATTAACGCTGATAAAGATGGCAAATTCTAATATTTTATTTTATGCATAGTGCACATGTGTCTCCGTCATATTTTCTTTCACTAATATTCAGTCACTTTAGGAGAACCCTTTCTTGTGACTGATTTTGGGTATCTGCCACAGGCAGCACAGATTTAAACATGCAGGAAAGATCCTCAGCAGTGTGAATTCTCAAAAACCCTCCCGTCATTCAAGTTGGAAAGCTCAATATTTTGATGTAGCCAGAATATAGGTTTGACATTTTTCATATAGGAAAATAACACTAACTTGTTAACAGGTGAACCACAAACAATTAGTATATGAAGGCAACAGGGAAGGAAGAGACGGCAGCAAATAGATTCACACAGTTTCATCAGTTTTTTTCAGAAATCTCTTGTGGTCTTGTCCATTTAGCACCTGCTAAGCCTAAATTGTATACATGCCTCTTAAAAAACTGTCAACAACAGAAATACAGATTCATTTTTAAGTCTGCTCTTTTGCTGATAAGTACTGTTTGTAAAAGAAAGATCATCCTTCTGGTCCTTCTCTGACTCACATACACAGAAAAAGGTATGGACTGGTCTCAAGCAGAAGCCAAAAGAATTAAAGCAAGCCCCTGTAAACTTGACTTGCATGTAACTGCTGCCATCTTAATAAGGTGAGAGCAGATTTTAATTCCCAAGCAGATTCAGAAGCTGCAGCCCAGTCCCTGCCATACGGAGACAGCCTGGAATCTGTCAAGTTCACTTAGTGAATTTTATCTTTGGGGAGTCAGTCAGGCAAGCTACATCAGAATAAACAGGATGCTGTTGAGATCTGGAGGCTAATGCTGGTACAGGCTGGACTACTGAACCAAAAAAAAACCCCAATTTTAAATAAACATGTGGTGACTAGAAAAATTAACAATAATTAAAGCTGTATAAGCACAAAAATGACTACATGTGATTTTTACTGGGCTCTGAAAGATACCGTTCTCTCTCTGACTTCAGGAATTAGCCAGACTTTCCATTTCTTTCCCTTACTCCTTGTATAGTAATATATAACAAGAATATTTAAGGCTTTATATCAGCTTTATGTATTGATCATTTTAAACACCCTATTTAAATGCTACACCTAATTACACAACCGTTTAACATTTGTTCAAGGAAACATAAAAGTACACAATGTCATGTTTATATGATCGATACACAAGTCTAAGCTGCTTCTTCGTGCTTCAATACAGGGATACAAAAACTGGGGTCTCCAAACCTATCAACTTCTTCTGACGGATGGGGATAAGATAGAGTTTGTTGTGCTCTGGGTAAAAGCCAGAATGTTAAATGTAATCTTCTGCACATGCTTTTACTGATATTCAGCATAAAAATAAGCCTTATCCTTTTTTATTAGTTGGTCTGAGCCAGAACCAATTCTTTTGATGTCACCTAGCTTATAAAATGCAGCACTATAAGCAAGGGAGGTTTTAAAATGCTTCACAGACTTTATCCATTATATTAATGGGTTTCAAATTGCAATCTGTGGAGCACTTTTTGGTGCTGATCCATAGGCAGCTGGCCAGTCACCTGGAGCTGGCTCCTCTCCTTGTTTCCCTCTGCTTATTCACTATAAAAGACAGAGCTGAAAACAGGCAAACAAAAAAGTGCCAATTTTAATGCCATTTTTCTAGACAAACAGTTACAGTGCTTGCCACATGACCATCCTGAGAATAAAGGACTATGCAATTATGAAAGGCAACACAGCTTGCTGGTAGCATGCACAGTGGACCACAGTAGGAAGGAGAGGGGGAATATGGAACACAATAGAAATAAGGGGTTTTACTGTAAGATTAATTTGATTACACTTTAAGGTGAATGAGTAAAACAGCTAATTTTTCAGCATTCCCTATTTTCAGGCAACAAGCCAAATTTTACCTCATACCCCAATTAGATGAACTTACTCTATGTTATTATTTTCCAGAATTATTTACAGTTTAAACCACTTCTTTTAAGAATACCCTGATAAATACCCTTTAGACATCACATCTTGCACTGGAAAGACTATTTCTTTGAATACTCCAAGTGACACCTACAGATTCATCTAGGGACTTCAAGTTCCCGCTATATATCAAGTAAGCAAAGAAAGCTACACTGACCTGCATCAACCAGGGTAGGAAAGGCTTCTGGAATCTAATCAGCAAATCATAATAAACAAAGTATTAACCTACTAATTAAAAAAAAAATAAATATACTACTAGCCTTTCATTTAAATTGTTTCTTCTTTTCAGATACATACTTTTAATGCATTTTAGCAGGCTTTCCACAGCTATATCACTTTATCTTGACTGAGAAATATACCCACCGTAGCAGATTCCAGAGGTTGTGTAGTCACTAAATTAAGTCAACACCAATAGTACACTATTGCTTAATAGTAAACAGATTCAACAGCTGAAATTATTTAAGCTATCAGTAATAGCTATTATTAGATCACAGAAAACATTTGTGAGTGCATGCCCAAACAAATTATAAATAGCACACAGCAGGAGATCAGTTCATTCAAAGCAGCACTGGAATGTGTAATTTACTGGTTTCAGTGCCATTAAAGGAGGCTGTGGTATGGTAGAATCTGTGCTCCACTGAAATCTTCCACTTGTGAGGAACAGGCCAGCCTTTCTAGTCAAGGGAAGCCTGATTGATAAAGCCACCAGAGAGGCAAGATGACTAATAAGAAATACTTGTTATTCAGTCTTTGGTTCATGAGATCCACCATTGCTCCAGTATAATAATGTGGACAGCCTGGTTAGATTTAAGAAACATCTCCAAGTGCTCCTAGTTTGTCTTTTTCAGTACAAAATGGTACCACAGTAGCCTAAATATAGCCTAAGACCTAAGTATTTATTATGCCCAAAACATGATGTTTAAAACCCCTTCTGTTTTGCAATGAAGAAATTTCCTGTTTAGACTTAGGGTCTCTCTTGACCCAGAAGATGGAATCTCTCACAGTAAATTACATGTGCCTAGTTCAGACATCAGGAACAAAAGACTTTAAAAAACCCAAACAAAACAACACTGATAAACAACAGTCCCACCCCCACCATCCCCCGAAGCAACAAAACACAATACCCACCACAGTTTAAAATAGACTGTAAAGCCACTGATCTAACTTGTAAGGATTCCATCATTCCTTCATTTCTTCCCTGCTGCCTTCCTATTTTCCTTTCCCTCTAAGTCTACATCTACATAATTTATCAGTGGTTCTCAGTATGGAGAACCCATGGGTTTGTTCTGTGAAGCACACTGACTTCAAAAGCAGTATGAAAACATAAAAAGAGTAAAAATCTGGATGGTGACAGTGATGGCAATGAAGCAGTCAGTCAGTCTAAGGTTATCCTGGTCCTTCCAAGAACAAATCAGGGTCACTTGGCCAGATAATAAGTAGTTGTTTTCTAACACACTTCTGCTTTCTCTAAAGCAACACCAGCTATTGTGGCATTCAGTTGGAATGAAGAGGGTAAACATCATTTCTGGAGAACACACTCCCCTCAGAGTACAGACCAGTACTGCAGGAAGATGTGCTGCCCTGTGGCTCTGCTAGAAGTCTTTAATCCTATGGACATTAGAAGCAGAACAACTGTAAAATATTAGTAGCAACAACATACTGCTAACATCAGGCTAAAGAAAGATACTTCCTCTCAGGTAACTGAGCTGTGTTACTGAGGAGGAATGGGAAAGGGACTGGATTTTGGACTACTGATTGATTAGATACCTGTCCCAGAATAGACTTTTGGCCCTAATACACGAAGAATTGATGCTGTTCCATCTACAAGCACAGTTTTTCCAGAAAGATCTTGTAAGGTATCAGCACAATGTAATTCAAATTGTATTATTTAAAAAATCAGTTCTCCTTCTGGATTAAAATAGAATGTAAACGGCTGCAAAAACTTAATAGATGCTCCAATGACTGTACCTTGATATAGATGATGTGAGCTCTGCCATTTAACTTTCCTATGAAGGTACAGAAAAATAAAAAATAATTATCTTCTTAGAAGACTTGCAAGAAAGTCTTCTGGCATACTGTCAACTATTTTAATCAAAATATGTTTCAAGCATGGTTCAGAATTAAGGCAGGTCACATAGGATTTTATTTCAATTCATTTCAAAATGTGTATTCTTTCATGTACCTATGATGGCAAAAAGCAGGGTACAGAAGATGGGAAATTTTCATGCTTTTTAACATTCAAGAGTATGTTCAAAGGATCTGTCAAGTATTTCTGCTGGATGTGCTTAATCCTAGAGCTTTCAGGCACAGCTTGTTACTTCCTTTCCACTTCAGCACAGTTTTGTGATGTATTTATGAGGCTGAGACTAAACTAGGTCTGCTTCTATTAGATCACACTGCCATCATAAAGCACAAAATACACACATATTCTGAATATAACAGTAATGCAAACACTTGTATCAAATGCTCTTTTTAATTTTAATACAGAACACTGTTGCATCACTACATTAGTATTTTAAATCATATGTAATTATTTCAATAAAGTGGTTCCTGCTGGCTTTAGTAATATAAAAGACGTGTTGCTATCCCTACAGTTGTCTGCAAAAGTTTTCAAGAAGAGAGCTCATTTATAAGAACAGAAGTACAGCATTTCTGTTTCCAGATTCCCACTCCGTAGACTTCTGTTTTACATGTTTCCTGTCCCTGATTGCTCAATGCCACCATGTGTATATCATCATTTATAGGAAGAGCACAAGAAAATCTCTTCAGCGATAAATGGTGTGCTACATTTACATCATTTCACAGCAAAAAAAAAAACAACCAACCAACCAAACACCCCCCCCACCACCACCACCCCCCCCAAACCCAAACAAACCAACCACAAACTAATCACTTTTTACTCAACTTTCATTAGAACTTGCACTATCAAATTGTTTAGTTCTCGGCCATTACAATGATGTCAGCTATCACAAGGGTGGGAGCCATCAGAGTGCACTTGCCTGCCCCACAGCATTGAGCGTGTGGGCACAACTGGCTCTCATGCTCTGGGGTTTCATGCTGGGGAGAATCAGGAACCTGCTGCTTCAAGCAGTGTGAGCCACTCCTCTGCTCAAGAAGTAACTACTTCCAAAGCAGATTTGAGTAAATAGGTGATGCGCCCACTATTCAACCAAAGTGAAAATGATGGCAGCTAAAGTTAATCCTCCAAGGGCATAAACCATATTGTTAGACGTGTGTATACTGCCTATTCTATGAACTTTATCATGAGGGGACAGGAGGTCCCCTGGCAGAGGTAGGGCACCAAGCCAGAAGCAGCAATACCTTAAATCATCTCTACGTGGGTTGCCAGAGCTGGCCATTCCGACCTCGAGTATATACTAATTTTGCTGACAACTGTAATTTTTAAAAACTGAAACATATGCCCATTTCAAACATGGGGAAATGAAACATGGATAGGTTTCATGATTTCACAATGTCACACAGCTCTTCAGGGGCACAAATGAAAGTAGGATCCAGGAATATTCATTTATAGATACTAACCTAAATTCTCTCTTGGTCCAGACATTCAATCATATAAGTAACATTTATGTTCCAGAAAACTCAATCCCATACGTATTCTCAATATTAAAGCACTTCAAAAGTTATTAAAAATATTTTAAAACAACAGGAGAATCTGTTGAATGATATATTTAGCTTCCCAAAGTTTTTTATCATATTGTTTGAGTATCTACATAATCCTTCCTTTCCTTCAGTTTAAGGAAGGGCTGGTCTTGGTTGTATGGGCCAAGTGAACAACTCCAGAGTTTTCAGACTGCTTCTTCCATGGATTCACCACACTGTTTACAGCACATCCCTGTCTCTCCTGAAGAAACAGATTATACTGATTCCCTACATCTCTATCATATATGTTGTCATAATTACAGCTTCTAAGGTACTTGGAAGATTAAATTCTGCTCATTTGATTTTTCTTTGCACATATACTCCAAACATGCTGTTCTTTCTCTGCACAGAAGAAATTTTATCTTTTACATGAATTTTATCTTTTACAGGTTAAAATCGTTCTCTAGTGAAAGCTCAGTAATATACACCCATTTATTCATACCAGACTCTGTTCAGTACTCCTTTCTAACTTCATATCTCCAGTATGGCAACCTAATTAGCTACAAGAAATATAATAAAATAGAACATCAGATGTATATCTCCAAGCGTACTCCTTAATATTGTGTTTTGGACTGCCAGAACAAACATGATCATCTGTACCAACCTGTGTTTTCTTATTTCAAAACAGCAAAAGCAAAAGTCACAGGAATGGATATTTTAAAACCTACCTCATCTTCCAAACCTGAGCCTTAAGCTACATCCAGCAGTTGAGAGTTAAAAGAACAAAGATGACACCCTCAATCGCTGAGTTTATGAAAGTACTTTCACTTTAAATGCTCATGCTCCGTGTCAAACATACCCCTTTAAAAGGATTTCATACCACAAATTGCATTCAAAATTGCAACTATAAAGTATCTGATAACATTTAATAGCCTCTAGGTATAATCAGCATAAAACCAGCATAAAAGACTCTCAATATGAATATGAAATGTTTAAACCAAATGTGATGGAACCTCATGGGGAATCCTGCCACACATGCAGTCTTTTCTTCTAGGAGGTCCTTCAGCTGTCTACCTTCACTGTCCTTGTAGGGGGTACAGCAAAATCACACGGAAAAGAAAAGAAACCTAAGCATCGGCATGCCGCAGAAGTGTTTAACCATTGCTTCAATGAAGCAAGCTTTGATCACTTGCTAGAAAAAAGCAGTGACCTGTCCTTTAAGGCGAGCATTTTCTCTTTTGATCTGTTGAACTCATTTAAACTGAATTCCAAGCATTAGTGTCTTATTTAATACTCACTTATAAAAATATCATATAAACAGATAAAATTTCATGACACTCACAGATCTCCACTCCAGTTATTTTATATTAGCAGCTGTATTCAGATGGTAACTTTGAAACATGTTGTAAGTAGGTTCTAATGTACTACAATATTTTCAGTAGTAAGTAGCAGCTACTGTATATATCAGCTAAATATAACCATGCTATTTATCTATTATTTATACCCTAAATACCGTATCTGACAAGGAAAGAGCAGGCATGCCAAACTGTCATTTCTGCATTTGTCTCAGTATAAGATTAACTACCCATGTAA